AACTTTATGCTTTATTCAGAACTTTTTCAATTTGTACATAAATATTAGTAATAGTTGCTAGCTAAAGTTGAAATAATGATTTTTATTGTATAGTAGTTCTACCAAAAACACAAGAGTACGATACTAACCGATGAACAATTGTTTTCAGTAACTTTTGTTTCTTTTGATAATGCTTGATTTTGATGTACAAGTATATTTTTGAACATGTTGTTAAGAACCAAACATTTCAGTGCACACCAAGTCACAAACCCGTTTTCGCAAGCAAGATTAAAGCCGTTTTTACGGCTTTAATCTTGCTTGCGAAAACGGGTTTTTTAAAGTATTTACGTCAAGATGTAGACCATTTCATCCATATTCCAATGGGTTCTGGTTTAATGTGAAAACCATTCTTCACCATGACGTCATTCAAAGCACTAAACTACTTTGACACTTTATCTTTATCCATGCATTGATGTCGAACTCATGCTGTATTCTCAGGTTGTCGCAGAGTAAATTTATGCCCATGCTGGCGTTTTACCCTAGTCTACCACTGGTTGCTTGGAAGTCTTTTCTTGAAGTTGAATTTATGCTATGTGGCAAGTTTTACAACATAATTTAAGAAATGAGACTTTCCGAATCCTACCTTTAACTTTGCTCTATTGCTGACATCTTTCTTTCAGAGCAAAAGGTTGGGTAGGTTTTTTTCCTGGCTTTGTTCCAATAACAACTTTTCCAGAGAGTTTGTCTCTCAGTGTTGTACATGGCACATTGTACAATATTGCTGTCTTACGCACTGAAAATGATGGCTCTGTTTTGATATGCTTAATTGCACTCATCATATTTTCTTCGCTCAATGGAATGATTTGAACAATTGTCACGAGTTAAAGAAACATCAATTGTTGGCAGCTGTTTCATTTGACAAATGTCAAGAGTACTACTACCAGATGCTGGAGTTCTATTATCATTAAGATACGTTGTATTATAACATATTGTAGCCTGTGTTACAGAAGCAATCTTTCCAACCGACATCCGGTGAAATTTTGGTGATGATCTACATCCCCCGCCTCTTGTTTTAGCCATGTTTTTTTTCAAGACAATATCTAGATAAATTAAGTTGCAGTATGAATGTCATATTAATTTAATAAAGTGCTCCAAATTATTAAGAGCTACAAATATTAAAGCGTGATGAAAACCATATGTTAGTATTTGTAACCTAATCCCAACCCTAAGAACTTCGCAGTACTTAAATTACAATGAAGTAAATAAGCATATAGCTAAGTAATTACAAAATTCTATTAAAGAATAATAAAAACATTGTTATTATGCATAAAAGTGAGTTTTGGACCTTTTAAACCTAACGTTTTGGACATAATTTTTTAATTATTTTAACAACTAAAACATTAGTTCTAAAATTGAAAATAAATAAAACAGTTGTAAATGAAATACCATTACTTTCTAAACATTAAAAATTATTATATAAAAATAAATAAAACAGTTGTAAATGAAAAACTATTATTTTCTAAACATTTATTAAAAATTATTATGTAAAATCAATTCTAAATTCTTTCTAACCATTAATTATCAGGAAAAGAAAATGCAATAGCAGTCAGTTTACTTACTTGCGATATTTTTTTTGTTCTTCTTCTAGCTAATTCATTTTGTTTTGATGAACATGAGCTATTTATACAACTACTCAATACTCGACGCAGAGTTATAGTACTGTAATTAGCAATTTATTTTTTAATTAGTTTCATTACAATACACAGGGGAAGCGTATTATTTTGAAGGCAATCAAAAATACATTAACTTGAATATTATCAATATTTGTCAAAGCAATTATCAAGTAAATTTAGGGTTCAATTTTACGCTAATGCTAAGAATGTTGAATTAAGGGTAATTAATTTATAAAATAATTTTCTCAGTTATATATAAAATAAAAATACATATAAAATATATTTCTTTGTAAGCATTCAAAAACATCATGTTCTTTATATGCATCCTTACGAAATTTTATGATTTTGAATATTTATTTTTTAAATATGTCATCCCAATTTAATAAAAAAATAATGGGGGTCATGGCGAAAGGTTTTTTTCGCCATGACCCCATTATTTTTTTTTTTACATTAAGACTCGAGAATAAATGCAGCATGTTATATAATATAACATGCTGCATTTATTCTCGCCCACCCAGGCGAGTCTTAATGTATTGGGCGACAACATATTCATTGTGTGGGCGATATTGAGTTATTTTGGTAGGTTGAGCAGAAAACAATTTTATGCTTATTCTACCATTTCAAACCGTTATAAATGTTATCACAATCACGGAATAAACAGTGGTAAATTAAATTATAATCTAAAAATGCACAATGAATAGTTAACTTGTTAGAGTTGTATTAGCTGGTTTGAATTTAGACGGTATTTCGTCTGACTTTTTTTTTCCCGTGAACTTTTGGAATAAAAAAATCAAACAAATTATCGTCTAGTTTGAATTTGGTAAATTCAGTAGCAAAAAAATTACCGAAAACCAACCAAATTTTTTTTAAGAGTTACTTCTTTATTTACGTTTTTTTTAAGTTCAAAGTTGTTTTGATTTGCTTTGAGGGTTGGTTTGCTTCTCTAAATGAACGTCTTTTTGAAAGTGCAACGTGTAAGTTAACTGACGTATAAGCAATTAAAGATGGTGGCGATATTGAGTGATGGGCGAAATTATGTATAGTTAATCTAAACATATAATAAATTATCAAAGGTATGTATAGAGTCGTTTCAAAACATGACAAACTGACTTAAGCTACAGTTGCTACAGTCACTTTTTCATTTTATTTAACTCCCAGTCCAATTAATTTAATATATAAATAAAAATTTAATACACTATAATAAACTTAATACACTGCAAAATGTTTGACATTCTTTCGAAAATTTATAGGCTTGTGAGACACATTTCTCACTGAATGAGAAATATTTTCTTAAAATAGTCAGTTTAACTCAATTACTTTTGAATAAATTTTTGATGTGCCGTATTTTGACTACTTGTAACCTCCATATCTTGTTTAAATTATTTTTATTTTATATATTATATATATAAAAAAATGTTGATGATGATACTCAGTGGAACGTGGAAGTTTATTTCATCAATATTGTGCATGTATTTAAAAATCTGGATTTAACCACTTTTTTGCCTTCTCTCTTGAGTGTTGTGAGGTCTAAAATAACTCTTCTCTGCTCAGGGGTTTTATGTTTAATAAAAGAAACTGTTTTGGTAGCACGGAGTTGGACTTTCTCCAGCGCGTCTATGTCTCTCTGTTGATATGGTAAAAACGCCTGGATGATGTACTCAAGGTGAAGTCGAACATACGAGGTTTATATATTATATATTAAAAGATGTATTAGGTGAGGTATCATCAATTATAGATTTTTTTTTAAAGGTCCATTCTTTTTATCTTTTATCGCAACACTACTAGCAACAAAATCTTTTTAGTAAATTTTATTTCATAACCAATTAATTTTATAAACAAAAAACTTGATAGTGTATTAGCACTTTTAAATTTTACAGCCAAAATACAAAGTTCGGAAAGTCCTACTCTTAAAGAAAATATTAGAAAATGTTTTTTTATAATTTGTTTTTATTTGATATAACTTCAGAGTGTGCTCCTCGACAATTACTTGAGGAAAATTTAAGAAAATTTACAAAAATTAAGAAATTTTTTTACTATTTTTAGTGCGAGATTACATGGTTATATTTCACGAACACTCCCTTACTAATAGGAGTCGCGATCCCTTAGTGTTAATCTTGCGCATGACTGAGACTAAAGGCGTTAAAACGTATAATTAATGTATAATTAAGTTAAATGGAAATCAACATTTAAAAGTTATCTAGTATGTTAAAACAGATGATATTTAGTAATTTTATAATTGCTATATTTTGTAATAACAAAATGTAATCTGTTTTAACATATTAAAAAGCATATCACCAATATTCTTTTTTTATAACCATCGTATCCTATACTTCATAATCCATATCTTTATCTTACTTAAGATATATTTATGGATTTAAAAAAACAAAATGGTTTTAAAAAATGTCTGTGATATATGATTTTTATTGTGACATGCTTTTTATTGCGATGGATGCTTTTTGTTGTAATTTTTATTATTTAATGTTTGATTGTTGTAATATTTTCTTGCTATATATGCCTAATATTGCAATTAGTCTTTTTGATATTCTTTTTTTCGTAAAACTTTCGTTATTACACGCATATATATATAAACATGGAAAAATTCAGAGCTTTCTCAAAGAAGAATGCTACGTAGCATTCTTCTTTGAGCAAAATATTGAGAAAATCTTTGAGAAAAATATTGAGCAAAATCGCTAAAAAATTTTATTTACGTAAAACTTAACAATTACTTCAAAAACGCTGTGTTAAAGCGTTTTTTTATTTCATACACCCGGCCTAAGTATGAGCGTAAGAAAATTTGCTTCGTTTCTAGAAGACGAAACCTAAATTGATCAAACAATTTCCGCATCCACAATATGTAGCTACATATTGTGGATGCGGAAATTGTTTGATCAATTTAGGTTTCGTCTTCTAGAAACGAAGCAAATTTTCTTACGCTCATACTTAGGCCGGGTGTATGAAATAAAAAAACGCTTTAACACAGCGTTTTTGAAGTAATTGTTAAGTTTTACGTAAATAAAATTTTTTAGCTATTTTGCTCAATATTTTTCCACGTAAAACTGACCAAATACTCAACGCTTTAGCAGTAAATTGCTCAATTTTACACGAATATAATTTTTTTCAAATATTTATTTTTGTAAAGCTGAGCAATTACTATTAAAACGCTAAGCAAAATCATTGGCTTTGGGAACAAAAGTGGGAACAAAACGAATCTGGAACAAAACGAAAAAATAGTTTTTAAATATACAAATTTTAAATAAACCTAAGTAATCATTTAATAAGTAATTTTCTATTAAAATAATTTAAAAATTTTAGTTGAAAAAATATAGATTAAAAAAAAATTAAACAGTATTCATTATTTTACAGCTAAAAGCAAAAGTAATCAATTTACAAAAAATTTTTTATTTCCAGGACCGACGACACGAGTTTTGAAGTAGTGGATGGGAGGAGGGAAGAAGGGGGGTTTGAGGGCACAATCATCAATTTGTGAATAATCATTTATATCAAGATTTTTTTAAAAAAAAAAAAAAAAAAAAATCCCTGACCCCTCGGTGTCGTCGGCCCTAATTTCAACAGTATCCGTTTTAAAGCGCAAAGCAAAAATATAATTTCTAGTTGGGGCCATCCATAAAGGACGTCATCCAAATAGGGAAGGGAGGGAGGGAATCGAGTTGAAAAGGACAAAAAAAGACAAGAGGAGGGGGAGGAGGTTGTCAGAAAAAGAAACATGTGTTTTTGAGATAATGTATGAGAATATTTTAAATTTTATTTTTCAAAGGTGTAGCAGCAGATTCAAACATCATTGCAAGATGAAATAAGTCATCTCAGGATTTTATGACGTCCTTTTCCAGGGGGGTATAGGGAAAAAGGACAACCGGTGACAAAGGAGAGGGGGGAGGGGTCAAAAATTAGCTAAAAAATGGTGACGTCTTTTATGGATGGCCCTTTTGGGAGATAAAAGTTATAAAATGTATACGATTGTAATTAAATTCTCATTTAGTTTGTGACAAGCATTGTGGATGTAGTTATCAGTGATTATAAGTCAAGTAAGCTTAATGTAATTATTAAAAAATTTAATTAAAAAATTCTTAAGTTAATATAAAAATAATTAAAAATGTTTTTATTTTGATTTTCTTTTCATCGTTTATGATTTCACTAAGAAGGCTTGTTCTTTTTTTTTTCTTTTCTACGTTTTTTTTACTTCTTTTTTTTTTAATTTCTTTTTTACTTTTTTATTTTTTTTCGCTATTTTTTTTCTTCCTCTATCTTCGCAATAATTTGTTGACACATTAACTCGTGAGCATCAAGGATTTTGCAATCTTTTAATACATTAAGAAACTCTTGTATTGTTGTAGATCTTTGACTTGATAAAATATCGATCAATTTTTCTGTGGGACTGTATGCGTTTTGGTGCATGATTGTCTTCGCGATTCCGTTGACATCTTCTTTAGAACCAAGGAGTTCAAAAGCAACATCTTTCCAGGGTTGATCATTAGCGTTAAAACTGATAAGTTTATAGCTAAAACTTGTTAAATGTATTTTACTAATATTGGAAACTTTTTCTTCGTCTGAATATTTGAAGCGTTCTAAAAACTCTAGTGCGCGATTTAAACAAAGAGTTTTCAAGCACTTGCACAAATCTTTGATTTTTAAATCCGGTTTATATTGTTCCAATTTTTCAAATAACGATTTAGCGGGATTTCCACCACCGTAGCAGGCAAGTAGAATCTTTATGCGGTCATTTTCGTGTAATTCAAAATAATCCACGATATCATTCAATCGTTCATTTTGATCCAAATTTTTAATCAAACGGGGTAAACCATTACGATAATCTAAAAATACAACTTTACTTTTTTATTTTAGATTTCATATAGTATTTTAACAATTTCACGTAAATATTAAAAACGCTTCCTTTTGTTTTGTTATATTATGTATGTTACGTAATATAAAAAAACAAAAGAAAGTAACATACCATCATATGCGGTTTTTATGAGGTATGTTACGCAGTCAGTATGTTACGTATAAAATAGACGTTTAAGCGATTACAATTTCATCAGTTTTTTTAAATTGAACTTTAAACTCAATTAAGAAACTCGCTATTTATTAAAAAAAAAAAAAAAAAGAACTTGAATTCATTCATCAGAACAATTGTTACTGATAGCTTTTAGTGTCCTTGGTAGCTTAATTTAAACCAAAAACATTAAAATTCACCATTATGAAGTTTTTCGTATGGCTTTCTTTTTTCGATTTTTTTATGACTTCTACTTTAATTTCAGTAACAGATTTAAACTTTTTTGATTAATGAAAAACATTTTAAAAATAAAATAAAAATCAAGTTAGAAAATGCGAGAGCTTAGTTTTGTGTAGCTTAATAAAAAAAATACTGAATAATAAAATGAAAAACTACAATGAAAGTTAGAAAGAATTTTAAATGGAATTCAACATAAAGACATATTTGGTACCTAATTGTAAACGTAAAGACATATTTGTCAAAAAACATTTTTTTATTGGAAAGAAAAGTTAAAAAAACTATAAGCTGATTTCATGAAGTTAATTTTTTCCTTAAAAAAAAAAAATTCTTTCTTATAGAACTATTAAAGGTAGTATATATTAGAATGATTTTGTAATTCAAGAATGAGCAGACCCAATTACAATGATCTTAAAAACAAATCATTAACAGATGTGCCTTGATGTGAAAGCAATGCTTTTCCTCTGCATATTTAATAATATTTATTCAAATTTTTATCATATCTGAATACCTTTACAAGTACTGGGGATGCAACAATATATTTATTGATATTTGGACTTGAAAACTTTTTTTCCTTCAAAATAAGTCACATAGTACCATACACGAACAACATTTACAAAAAAAGTGGATGATGTTTTTGTCTTTGTTTTTAGTACTATTTGATTTGTTAAAGACAGCAATACTTTATAAGCCCGTTATCGTTGTTTCGTTACTAATAATATTTGCGTTTTTTGTAGTAATTAATTTTAGTGAACGAAGTCACTATTGAACAACGTTCTTTACCGACTTCGTTTTTAGTACTATTTGGTTTATTCTTTAAGAAAAAACAGTTTGTAAGTCCGAGTATTAAATAACGGGTGTTCACTTGAAATCCGGACTGACTTTAAGTCAATATAAATCTGACATAATGTATTGCAATTGTACCATGTGATACATTATTTTAAAGCGTTTAAATGTAGCTTTAATATGCTACATTTATATTTAGATTGAATGATTATTCAAATTGAAAATGAAACCTAAACAAGACGACACTCGAAAACGTGTGTACAACTTTTATATTGAAAAAGGCAAAAAGTACATCGTAGATCATTTTGAAAAAGAAAAAATTGCCAGATCGACCATCTATGATATAATTAAACGTGCTGATGACGATTCTGGATATCTTAGACGTCCTGGTTCAGGAAAAAAAGCTCTAAAAATGACCCAAAAAAAAGTACAAGCGTTAAAATCAATGTTTGATCATCATGATGGCGTTTCTTATTGGAAAGCAGGTAGAAAATTTAGAATATCAGCTTCTTATGCCCATAAAATTATTCAGACAAAATCAAAGATCAAGAAAAAAAAGAAGAAAAAGATTCCACATCGAACTGATGATCAAAAACTGATGGCAAAAACAAAGTGTGGTAGATTAAATCGAGCTTTTAGCAAATTTGATTGGATCATTGATGATGAATCTTATTTTACTCTTTCTCATTCATCAATCAACGGAAACGATAACTTCTACACAAGTGACATAAACCTCTGCCCATCTAGTGTCAAATATTATACAAAGCAAAAGTATGAACATAAGCTCCTGGTCTGGGTAGCCTTTTCTGTAAAAGGAATGTCAAAAATTCTAATCCGTCAAAGTGGTCTTGCAATCAATCAAAAAATCTACTTAGAAGATTGTATTAAGAAAGGTCTTATTCCTTTTATTAAAGAGCATCATCAAGACAGTCAATTCGTATTTTGGCCAGATCTGGTAACGTCTCATTATGCTAAATCTGTTCAAGCTTATTTAAATGGACAAAACGTCAGATTTGTACCAAAAGAAGATAACCCTGCAAATGTACCAGAAGCAAGACCTATTGAGGATTTTTGGTCAATAATAAAAGGTTTAGTTTACAAGCATAATTAGCAAGCAGAAAATTTAGAACAACTAAGGAAAAGGATAGTGTATTGCTTCAGCAAAGTTGATATCAATCTTGTACAAGAGTTTGCAAAGGGTATTTTATCAAGAATTGATTCTATAAGAAGAAAAAATTTAATTGAAAATAAATAAAGTATCATATTATAGAGAATTAAATGCTGATTTTAAATCATATTTTATTTTTTTAAGTTGATAAAAAATAAGGGAGTTATGACCCTTTAAAGTCAGTCCGGATTTCAAGTGAACACCCGTTATGAATCGAACATAAATCGAAAAGGTATCGTTGCATTTCTAATAATTACTAAAGAAAATGATTTATTTATCTTATATTTAACTTTTAACGGTCAATGTTATATTTCGAATGTAACTTTAGAACATTTAACTACCACCTATATACATTTTTATATAAAAAAATAGATTTTAGTAACTTTTCCATCTTATAGTTAAAAAAAAAAAAAAAATTTCTACAATATTTTAATATGCATCATAAAACTTCAATTTCAAATCTCTGGAAGTATATTTAAAACAAGAATCTACTCACAGACCAACATCACAATTAATACACATGTATCTAGTGTCATTTTGAATTTTGTTAGCACTGTATAATGCATACATATTATTGATGGACTTGCCTTTATAGGATTTAAAGATATTAATGATGGAAAATGTCTTTCAGCTAGACTCATTAGATTAACATTAATAGAACTTCGAGATTTTGTGTTTAAAAATATAATTAATGCTTCGGCAAAAATAAAATGTTTTTGTAAATCTTTTTAGCTATACAATAACCATTATAAATAGATGTGTTTATTAAATGGATAAATTATTCTTTATAAGAAATGACCCTTTTACGTTCTGAACTGTAAGTGGTTGACATCTGTAAGTGGTTGACATTTGATCACCTTGATCAACACCACTCATGTGTTTGTTATGTAGATCAACAACAGCTAGTATTACCTTTTCCTTTTACCAGTTACTTCTAGTTACTTCTACTATTTTTAATGCATGTGTTTAATAAAAAAATGCTAAACCATTGTTCATCTTTTCCATTTTTTCTTTTTACAGTAAACCATTCAAAATATATATCCTGTTTTAGATTTTATATGTATTTTGTTTTAAAAACACTTTTAAGGGGCATACACAAAGAATGTACGTAGTAAAACCCCTGAATTAGGACCCCCACCCTCTTGTACG